TTTCATTAAAATTATCCTGAACTGAGTCTTTTATGATAAATTTTGTTAATGGTTTTAAATTAACATTAAACCACAACATGGAATTTGATACAAAATGAACTTCAAAATGCAGAAATGTGAACTCTTCAGCATATTTTATATTCTGTGCTGCTAGTTGTACAAGAAGCTGATCGCACTATGATCCGACTATCACAGTGGGAAAATCTTGGATAGGCAAAAGTTGATGCACGCATCATATTCACACTCAGAAAAACCAGAGAGCCATCGTAAGCAGCACGTAAGAGGAACAAGTACAAACATCCTGTTAACAACAGGAAGCAAAAGGGTTTATGAGAACTGCGGTCTAATGCCGCTGATTTGAACCTCATGGTTATTCTAAGAAATGGTCTCATTTGTTTACTGCCGTTAGTGTATTGCACATCAATATAATAATTAATGTCACACATTAACTTTTAATGACATAAGTCGTGACTAAAGAACTGAAACGTATTACCTTGACTTACGGCTGAGAGCAAAGGCCTTCGAAAGTAACTGTTTTGGCGACATTTTGCACTACAAAGGTGTTTTTCCTGCTTTTCTTCAATCGCTTTCATTAATGAGCAAGAGAATGATCCCAAAAAGTTGATTCTGTTCATCGGGATGTAGCGTTTTCAAAAGAATGATCAGTTTTTTAGAAGTATGACATAAATTACACAGAAAAATTGAATGGAACTATTAATAGTGAGCAAACAGTTAATTATGTGTACCTGACACTGGCCAGTTGACACGGTGTCCTCGTCTTTTCAGTTCCTCAGCTACCTTCTGGTCGATCCCCTCCTCCAGGTTAACCAACCACTGACCAGCTGGGAAAAATGTGACCACATACAACATAATTTAGAGGAGTTTTCTTCTCAAGTGTTTCCAAAAGTAAAAAACAAAAGAAAAAAATGAGAGATGACATCAGCATTTTTAAGGAAAGTCTCATCTACTTAACAAATGATGTTACATCACGCTGAACAGCTGATTTGACTACCAGCCAACCACTTAATAAAATGCACGGCAACATATTTTATGGAAAAGTTAGTTGCTATGTTTACATGTGTTTCAATGGCACATTAACTACCAAACAGCTTAATGTGCATTTCATATGACAAAAATAAAAAATACACAAGCACATGAGCCAATTATACACTTGAACACACTTGATTGTACAGCATACATCTTTAATGGCTAAAAGCAAGAATTGGGTCCACAAGTTTGAATTTATTTTGGATTTTCTCCACACATGATAAAAAGGTTCAAATATAAATGCAGTTAAATCTTGTGGTGCTGAAGAATCTTTTAGCATAACATGACAAAGAGCCTTTTAATCATTTAACTTAATGATCATGATTGATTACAACTAGTGGTTTCTCTTTGCCACTATAAAAAGATTGGTCTGACCAATACTGGGAACAAAGAGAAAGGCCAAGAACTCAGTGAAACTCTCAAAAGAAGAATTGTTGGAAAGGTCCAATTGAGCCATTTCCACACAAGTACATTCATTAGATCATCATTTCAAACGACTGTACGTAAGTGCAATTTATTCTGACGTGTCACCACTTTGCCAAATGTCACCCTCAGATCAGAGGAAATCAGTCAGCATGTTCAAGAACAACCCAGGAAGCACTAGGGCTCAACACCAGCATAACTGTCCACAATGAAGCGAGTTCCACATCGCCGTGTAGCAGGCAGCACTGATCCAAAGCGATAGTGCTTCACTTCATGCAAACAATCTGTTATAGTGGCATAAATGAATGTCCGAATGACTTATCTAATCAATATTTTGACTAAACACACAATGTTACTGATCATTAATCAAGACATAATGTTCTTCTGCTCTTTAAGCTTGCAAATGATTCTAACATTTGCTATAACGGCGCGTGTTTGTGTGTGTGTTTTTGTGCAGGCCTACTTTTGTGGTCATACTCTACATAGACTCTAGGTGCATCCAGGGC